AGGGCAACCAAACTAATTAGGGGTATGGAGGACCAGAGCTACGAGACAAGGCTACTAAATTTAAACATGTTCACATTAGAGGTGAGGAGATTAAGGGGGGATATGATTTCCATGTACAAAATGTTCAATGGTGGTAGCAACATTAGCGATAAACTGTTTAACATTAACTCCGTTACAAAAACTAGAGGCCACCACCTAAAATTGGTGGAAAAAAAATTCCAGCACAAGGGGCGAAGGGGGTTCTTCACAGTAAGATCAGTTAGGGTCTGGAACTCACTGCCACAGGCGGTGATTTCAGCAAATAATGTGGAATTGTTCAAGAAACTTTTGGACGATTTCTTAAGGGACCGTAATATACAGGGGTACAGGTACTCCTAGAATGAGATCCTAATAGGTTGGACTTGATGGACTAATGTCTTTATTCAACCTCAAATACTATGTAACTATGTAACGTATGCAATGCTCTGGCTCCTTCCGTCTCTTTTTTGGCCTCTGTCGCTACCGAGGTACAAACTTTCACTTACAGGGATGGAGGAAAGTATAAATGGACCACAAATGCGCTAATGTCACCACACTTTTACTCTATTAAGAATTACTGAGAGCCCGTGGTGGTAGATGAGATTTGTAGGCTCTCCATTCGCAGAACTTGTCAAATGATCTGTAAATGGATGACATAGTTGTGTGGATGGAGCCACGTAATGCCGAGCCGAATTAATAAACTGTGAGGAACCTGTGGGGAGAAGAACCTAATAATTCAAAAAAAGTGGCCGGAATGGGGTTGGGGTACCAGTGAGGTGACCATGTTTCATGTTACACCCTGATTATGGGTATAACATGAAACATTGCATTTGAAGTAAACTTAGCCTTTAAACATGCTTTATAAGTACTGATGACATGACCTCAAACTTAACCATTATCACGTGAATCAATTTTAATAGTCTAAGCACGGTCAGGATATGACAACCCGCTCATCTTCCTATACCTATACTTGCTTTTACTGGGTCTAGTGAACCATAATATGCTGAATGTTATTTCTGCGTTATGTTCCCTTCTCCCTGTCTGTGTATTACTCCCATCAAAATGCCTAATAAAACACGCAATGCTAAAGCAGAGTAAACTACAATGAGGCAGACACACAGATTAGTCTAATCCAAGTCATCCATACAATGTACAAATCATCTACATGAAATCAGAAGATCGGTGTGTATGCATTGAAGGATATAAAGTACAACCACATATATTGATGTGTTTACATTACATAAAGGATACATAAATGATACTAATGTAATGTTATACTTATGTTGTACTTTAGTGCTTTGTCTAATCACCAATATAAACTTACAAACGATATTATAAGACCGGATGGCAGATTTCAGGAGTCAATCTAATCTAAAAGCCAAGTGATTTAGAATTCCCCTGACGGTAATACGGTAGAAGTCAGATGCCAATAGTCATTTTTTATGCACACTGGATTCCTCATTCCTGGGATTAGTCCAGCCCTGGCAGCAACTCCGACTAGTCCAGTCTTTGTTCACTTGTACGAGAAGTTCTCGATTTCACCTGCGATGAATGCTCTCTAATTTGACTATTATGCGGGTACTTGGCATTCATGTATGAAACTGTCAGGTCAGAAGATCCAGACCTTCAATATGCAGAATGTCTGCCAATAGCCGACCAGTGAGGTGTTGCCTGCCACTTCATTACTACATTACTACATTACTACATACGACATTATTTTTCCCAGGTAGTAGAATTGCCTATACATTTTATGAGATTTTATTTTTCCATGCATCACTTCTCTCATCCATCCAGGATGTCCCAATGTTATTGTATGTAAGTGCACAGGATATGAATAACAAATTGTTAAAATGACACTAAACTCAGGAGTTAAATCTTAAAAATACATCCAAGTACCTTAACTATGAACAAAAATGTATCTTATTTGTGTATCACTCGGCTGTAGATCCTCAAATCATCTCTAAATTGGTGCTGACACTGTCCTTCCTTCTGGAGGGTGGCTACTTTTGTTCCCCATGGTCCCTGTGTGTGTTGTAAAGTAGTCACCGCTCCAAGCTTGCTCCCGTGATGGACTACAATCTCACAGTTAGGTTACTAATTTGTATTGAGATTGTAGCACATCTCAATACAGAAGGAAGGAAGGACAGTGTCAGCATCAATTCAGAGATGATTTGAGGATCTACAGCCGAGTGATACACAAATAAGATACATTTGTGTTAATAGTTAATGTACTTGAATGTATTTTTAGATTTAACTCCAGAGTTTACTGTCACTTTAAATCAGACAAAGTTTACACCACCGAGGGAATTTAATAAAAATGTGAACCAATGGCGTAGGAGAAGCAGTGTGTGGTTTTAGGCTGAGCGCTATTGCCTCTGATCGCCCACAATTTATCAGTAGTGATCGCCATGCATATAATGCATATGGAAGCAAACGTTGGAGCAATTAAATCTCCATTACATGCTACACTCTAATGTTGTCTATGTGAAGCAATAGTTAACAAAGGCTGGAGTCATACTTCTAAATTTTTCCCCATTTAAATCAATGAAATGGCATGAAAACACACGCCACCATGCGTTAACATACATTGTGATGCATTTCTAACTTATGCAATGCACGTTTTATTGAATAGCAACACGCCTCATAATGCTCATCAGTGCATATAGATGCACCATGATGCCTGTCAAAGAGTGTTTATGTGTGGCTGCTTATGCCACGATGTGGACCTTAGCCCATGTGCTGATATGCATTTTATTCTGCCTGGCCATAAATAAAAAAAAGTCACCACCTGGATTTAGGGCAGTGTTATGATCTGGGGTTGCTTCAGTTGGTCAGCTCCAGGTTCAGCAACATTATGTCCCCAAAGAAATGTGGTCAGCTGCCTACCTGAATATACTGAATGACCAGGTTTTTCCATCAATTGATTTTTTTTCTTCCCTGATGGCATGGGCATATTCCAAGATGAGAATGCCAGGATTCAACGGGCTCAGAATGTAAAAGAGTGGTTTTGGGAGCATGAGACATCATTTTCACACATGGATTGGCCACCACAGAGTCCAGACCTGAACCCCATTGAGAATCTTTGGGATGTGCTGGAGAAGACTTTATGCAGTGGTCCCACTCTCCCATCATCACTACAAGATCTTGTATAGGACATTGTATAATTTTATTTAAACAATGCCATGGCGAATGCGCGCCCTAATCAAAGCTAAAAGTGGTCCAGCAGAATTGTGACTTTTTTTCTGGCTAGGCAGTTTATTAGAGATATTTGATGGAATTAAGACATCCAAATACCTGTGTTAAGAAGGCTTTACTGTGCTTCATATTGATTCGGTTGGAGGGTTTTTTGTTTCCATTAGTCCCTTCTCACCATAACCTGTATGATTGTACTGTCTTGTTGAGTCCCAAGTCCTACTCCATAGAAGCCATGGTTTCCATATATATATTGCACTGATGATGGCCAAAAAGCCTGAATCAGCTATATGCAGTTTGGAATAAATAGCTCTACAATATTGGGCTGTATTTGCACTATACACCAACATTCTGGATGTGCATCTGGCTGCTTTTGGCATAAAGGATGATTTGCATGGCTCCAACTATCGGATAATCCTCTTATTTTTGGGATATGTGATGAAATTATATGAATGCCCGCTGTTACAATTCGGTTTTATTGTGCTATACACATTGTAGTAGAAATTACAGCTCACCCATCAGGTACAAGGCAAAGGAGATGAATCGATGGTATTTGCTAAGGATTCTGAGGGGCTCCTCACTCTGTACTAGAGTGAAGAAATAGTCTGTGACGGTTTCCCCGTAGAAGAAATAGTTGACGCATAGCAAGAAGTACCTGCAGGAATCCAAGAGATGGAGGATATTAATAAAGACAATAGTAAATAATTATTACCAACACAAGCAATTCAGTATAATTCATTATTGGAATTAGCTCTGCTTGGATTTCAAGAATAAGTTTCCAATAAACACAAAGTTATGCAGTTTGTTTAGTAAGAGGACTCCGACTGTCAAAACGTATCCAATGGATCGAAGGGGGTTATTCACTAAAGAATCAAAGGATCCAGCTTTGGCTGGTCCTTCGGCCTCCTCTGCCCTTCGCTTCAGTCGAACCGAAGGGCTGCTGTACGGGCTATTCACAATAGTCCGAACAGCAGCCGAAGGCAGCTGAGATGAACCCACATGCTTCGATTGGGCTGAGCCGTAGTGACACCTGAAGCATGGAGAACGGTCGGCCAAAGCCGACCAATCTCCATGCAAATGAAAGCTGGGCGGAGCCAACCGTGATCTCACGGCTCGCTCCGCCCAGTTGTAATGACAGATCAGCATCCCCAAATGACATGGGGGCGCTGATCTGTCATTAAACAACAACAACTGTTGTTATTCATTGACTGGGACCTGCTAGAAGACTCTGGCAGGTCCTGACAAATAGGAACGGGCGGAGCCAGCTGTCACTGCTAGCTCTGCCTAATCGTTTTTTTTCTTTTAAAATATTTTTAATTTTTTTTCAATTTATTGTTAATTATTTTTAATTATTTTTAAAATAAACACTTCTTTTTCCCCTCATTTTTTCCCCTTCTATTCTGCTTCGGACCTCGGAGGTACCAAGCAGAATGCCGCTCGGCGGGATTCGGATACTCACTCACTGGCGTTCGCCCCTACAAGAATAGGGGGCGAACGGCAGCGAGTGAGCTGTCGGAGCTTCAACTCAGCCGATCCAGATGTTGGATCAGCGGAGTCGAACTCCTTCTGCACTTCGGCTCAGACGAACAAGCAGAGCATGTTTGGCTGACCGAAGGAAGCCGATGTACGGCTGTAATCAGCCGTACAAGACTGATGTGAATTGCCGAAAAGTGTTAGGCTTACTTCACTTCGGCTGGGTTTTTCACTCAACTGCCTACGGCAGCTTTGTATTTAACCCCTTTAGCATACACCAGATTCTTAAGGTGCCCATACACCTTACGATTATCGGACTAAACTTTTCGTCCGATGATCGAACCGTCATACGATTTTTGTACGATGGCCCCATCCTGCCCTGATTATCGCAAGGTTCAATCAGCGGTAGTTAAAAAAAAAACACCTGGACGACTTGCGGTAATTGACCGTAATTATTTTCGTTTGCGCATGCAGTGTTAATCGTACGACTTTTGACGGACGGAAACGCCACCAACCATGCGAACATCGTACGATCGACCAAAGTTTTCAAACATGCTTGCCCGCCAAAAGTCGTACGATTGTACAGTACTATCGGTCGGGCACTACATTCACACGTTACGATTGTCGTACGAAAAGTCGATCGCATACGATTATGGTACAATAATCGTAAGGTGTATGGACACCTTTACTCTTCAGATTGGAGATCCTGGAAACCACTGCACGCAACGTCATTCCCCACTGAGTAGAAACTCAAGAAGGGGAGGCATTACTTCATTCAATATGATCCAAGCCAGACTGACATTACATGAATAACCTCAACAGAGATAGAAAGCATAAGAACTCCAACCAAACATCTTTATGTTGTAGTTCCACAGGGAAGTCAGGAGCCAGCATCTATTCTATTAAATAGCAACCAAATCCAAAAGGTTTAGAGTTGGGTCAACAAAGTAAATCTAACCACTAACTAGATCAGGCCTTCTTAAACTTTTTCCACTCGTGACCCCTTTTCGTCCAAGGACATTTTTACGTGACCCCAGGTATATAGAAAAGGTATATAAATCAAACATTTACTGGTAATAAAGAAAAATTTGTGTCAGACTGCTTGCATGACAGCATAGTGCCTACAGTTAGGGCTAGTTCACATCATCATCAGTGCGTTGTGGCCGGAACACACTGGATCCCATTGCTGCCGGCTCAATTTGTTGTGGGGCGGTATGGGGCGTGGCGGTGCAGTTAAGTGAATGGCACTTCAGCCATGCCCTCTGGCCACAATGCGATCGGCCGCACGGGAACACATGGCACATCAATGCCTGCATTCCGGTCTGGTCCGGTCAGAAAAAAAATAGTGCTTGCAGCCTTTTTACTGACCGGACCTCAGGCATTGATGTGCCTTGCGTTCCCGTGCGGCCAACCACATTGTGGCCGGAGGGTGTGGCTGCGGTACCATTCCCTTCACTGCCATGCCCCACAACAAATTGAGCTGGCCGCAATGCGATCCAGTTTGTTCTGGCCGCAATTGGGCCAGAACGCACTGAGGATGGTGTGAACTAGTCCTTAAGGGCCCATTCACACCAATTGACTTCAATGCAATGCCACGGCCCCTCCCACCCCAGAACGAAGGGGGAAGTTTAGTGAGCAATTGCTGTGCGTTCCAGCAGCTGCCACTCTAGAACGCACCGCAATTGGTTTGAATGGGCCCTAAGGATTCGTCCAGCAGGCAAAAGAAATGTAACACTTTCCAGTCTGTGTCCCCCAGACTGTCTTACAGGATCCATAGTAAAAATAGTATTGTGGTGCAATATATGTGCTCTCCTCCTTCCATACCCCCCCCCTCCCCCCAGTTGTCACCTTTTCTTTATGCGAAACCCAAACACTTAAGCGCCGCCACTTTTTTGGGTGAGAATATAGGAGAAGTGAGGAGAGACAGCCAGGGGAGAGGGAGGAGAGATATATTTTAATGTTTCATTCATTAAAGAAAATAAAAGTATAAAACTTCCATATAATTATTAACACTCACAGAGTTCACAGTACCCCCCTGCCCCCGGTGTTAAACTCATCTCCTCCCTGATTTACTGCTGATTCTCTGCAGCTTACAACCGCCAGCACTTCCAGGTAATGCGGACAGTCAGCTAAGACGGGGGCTGTGTGGTGTCTTAGGGCTTGTTCACATCAACGGCGGTGTGTTCAGAGTCGCATACTAAACTCCACCCTTCTTTCTAGGGCGGGAGGGGGCAGTGCATTGAAGTGAATGGCACCGCAGCCATGCTCCCCCCAGTGCGATCGGACGGGTGGCAAAACTTTGCCTGCGTTCCAGTCCAGTGCCAACGCAAGCGGCATTTTTTTGTGTTGGCACTGGACCAGAACACAGGCAATGTTTTGTTACCCATCCAATCGCACTGTGCCTCCTCCTGCCCCAGAACGAAGGGGGGAGTTCAGTGTGCAATTGCTGTGCATTCCAGCAGCTACCGCTCTGGAACGCACCGCAGTTCGTGTGAATGGGCCCTTAGAAGTGCTGTGCGGTGGTGTGGTGCACTGGGCAAAAAAAGTGTAGTGGCACCTCACTGGAAAATTGTGTTCCTGCACTGCATGTGGGAGAAATCCAGCATTTGTGTGGGCAGTGGGATGATTAGAGAAATTGTGATTAATAGTATATATACTTTTTATAATAAGCTTGTGTGTGTTTTACTTAGGGCTTGTTTACACCAATTGCGGTGCGTTCCAGAGCGGTAGC